ACCCCTTGTAGAGTGACCATGCTCTTGATCATTGTTTTACCCCTGTAGAGTGACCATGCTCTTGATTGTTGTTTTACCCCTGTAGAGTGACCATGCTCTTGATTGTTGTTTTATCCCCTGTAGAGTGACCATGCTCTTGATCATTGTTTTATCCCCTGTAGAGTGACCATGCTCTTGATTGTTGTTTTATCCCTGTAGAGTGACCATGCTCTTGATCATTGTTTTACCCCTGTAGAGTGACCATGCTCTTGATTGTTGTTTTACCCCTGTAGGGTGACCATGCTCTTGATTGTTGTTTTATCCCTTGTAGAGTGACCATGCTCTTGGCCTCTCTCAAGTTCATTTGTTTATCAGAAAGTAGCAGTGATAACAGTAACCCCATATTGTCGATTTGAGGATAAAGTAAGATAATGTAAGGTAACGTATTAAATGTGGAAAACAGTTAGTTGACCGTTAATCTCAGATATAGACGTCTTCTAATAGGTTTTGTTACAGCAACAAAGGAGGGGGGGTAAGTGGACCAGTGGATCAGTGGGAGCATCGAGCTTATTAACATACATTACTCTGAAATACACTTACTTTCTTCCCTATTTTCTCATATGAACAACCAGATTTACTGGTATGTCTGTTATATGTGATTTACCTTAGTTACTCTTTATGTTAAAAATGTTATGTGGTTATTATTAAGCATAAACAACACAGTTTGTCTCATAAGCCAGGGGTCCTCAAACTTTTTAAGCAGGAGGCCAGTTCACTGTCCCTCAGATCATTGGAGGGCTGGACTGCAGGCCCCAGGACGAGTTGGCTGCTAAGCAGGACAGGCAGCAGTGGCAAAAACACCTGGTGGGCCGGATAAATGTCTTAGATGGGCTGCATGTGGCCCACAGGCCCTAGTTTGAAGACGCCTGTCATAAGCCATGAGATCTTTGTTTTAGCTTGTGTCTGGGTTCTTCATTGGCTCATTATGGTGATGAGAGGGGACAGGGGAGTTAATGCATCGTTGTGTTACATATTAACATCTTCTATTTAATATGTACACATTTAAATGTCATCCTTTTCTGTGCTGTAAGTTCTCCCACCCCTTTTATTGTATCTAGTAGATATAATTGCAAAGGTTTTTATGAATTGCTATGTGAATGCTAAAGAATAAGGTGATTTTCAAACTTAGTACAGAATGTAATTAATTTTTATGCAACAGTATATACCTGCCAAGTGGGTACTTTGAAAATAAAATTGTTTTTGATTGTATGAAAGTGCTTGAAAATGTGATTCTCCAAAGTTTCCTTTTTCTTATAGCGAGAAAACAAGTGTCATGGAAATTAGTTATGACCATGCACTTGAAACTGGTTCTCCTTTTTTATAAAATCAAATTAAAAAAAAATTTCTTTGTACCAAGAACAGTCCTAAGATGTTTGTACACCCTGGGGCTGCTGGTTGCAGCTTTGAGTGAGTGAAAGACCACCTGCCCCAGATGTGACGTGCTGTGGGGAACCCCTATGTTTAGTACTAGGTGACATTCTCTTAGTATCCACAGTCGCTTGGGATTGCAGTAAAATAAGTTTACGTTATAGGCCAAAACTCTTAACTAGAAAGCAGTGGTTCACTCTGACCGTGTGTCTTACTGAATGTTGTGTGCTAAATATCTCCAGCAGAACATTGTTGGGCCCTGTGCAGCAGCTTCCAGGTTTGCCAAAATGCCACACACAGATTTCTGATTCCTGCATGTAATCCGCTTTGGAATCTCTTCTGGCTCTGTCCTTTTCTTCTTTTTATTTGACAACTTGCTTCTGGAAAAGCTTGATTAAACAGTGAGTCTCTATAAAACAACATTATTTACTCACTTGGTCATTTAGGTGAGGATTCACAGGAAAAGCCAAGCATGACCCTTTTTGTGTGTTTATGTGGCAAAGGTGCTAATTTAATGATGTTATTGATGTATTATAATTTAGAGCAGAGGCTTAGCGGAGGGCAGTGTAATCACAATATTCTTGTCTACCCCCCAACTCCTATATACCTCTCTCAGCTCAGATTCAGACAAGGGCAGATTCCATGAAGACAGCAAGGTTACTTAGCCCAGTGGTTCTTGATCCTGGGCATGCTATGGGATCATGTGCAGAGTTTGCTGAAACCCACATTAGTGCTTCTTATATCCAGAGTGTGGATTGAATTGTTTTGGTGTGAGGGCCAAGAATCTGCGTTCCTGTGTGGTATGGCTGCTGCTGGTCTGGGGACCACCCTGGGAGCCTCTCACTTAGAGCATTGGGAAGGATTGGGTTCAGGGTCCTGGGGAGTGTGTGGTGTATGTTGGTCAGTGAGGGAAGGAGGTGGGAAAAGGCATAAAGTGCTGCTCATCTGCTCTGCTTGGTTCCCTGGGGTGCTGACTAGCAAACTCCTGCCCTGTTAAATGTTAGTGATGTTGTTGGTGCGAATTAATTTCATTAATGAGAGTTGGATACATGTAGGAAGGGCAGTAGATTTGGTTGTTTCTTAGTCCTACTCTTCCCTTTCTCAGATGGTTCCTGTGTCTTGTTTGGGCCTTGCCTGTGTCTTCCCTTTGTATCAAATAACTCTAGATAGTCAGACTCAATCTGGCTTCCAGAAATGAGAAGAATGATGAGACAGTAGGTAAGACTTCTTGGAAAAGTTGTCTCATCAATCAAGATCACCGTTGTAATACAGACCTCACGTTAACTTGGCTTTCACCTGTTCAGATTTTGTAGCGGTTCCAGGCAGTGCTGGGGCCGAAATGTACCTTTGCATATTTATGAGGAGTTTACAAAACAAATCAATGAGTTTAGGCTGTTGGCCAAGACATTTAAATTACTTAATGGAAAATTCAGTACTGCCATTTACACATAATTGATTTCACACTAGAAATTACTCTTACCTATTCAGTTACAGAAGCTACTTTTAACTTATGATTACAATTGCTAAGGAGTCATTGATTTAGGAATGCATAATCCAGATTTCTTCACTTATTCAGGTGGAGTAATTGGCTTTGTTTTTAAATGTAAAGTGTAAAATTTTACTTAGTCGTCATTTTCTACAAGTTTCGGCCTCAGCATTATTTGTGGGTGCTCAGGTCTGCACCTGCTGTGCACCTCCTGAGTGAGCACTAGTGAGCCGGTGTAGAGTTCAAGGAGGAAAGTGCGGCCTCTTCAGGGGTTCTCTGTTTTGCTCATAAAGCACATTTTCAGATGTTATGTTCTTTTGAATAATGACTTGTGCTCAGATTTTCCTAGAATAAAACACCCTAGCAGGTAAAAGATTTAAGAGATCTAGGCCATGCTTACTCAGTGAAATGTAGCAGAGTGGAAAATACCCTGTCTTGTCAGCTCAAGGAAATTATAATTTTTCTGATGTACTAGTTAAAAGAAATCATGTTATTTAAAGACCTGCTATTATAGGCATTGACTGATTAGGAATAGATTTTGGTGTTTCATAGAATTGTATGTTGAAGTTACTATGCACAGGAATTAAAATCTGTAAACTAGAGAATGCTTTTGGGAGCAAATGGGAAGCTGGGCTAGAATTCTGCTGCTTCTTTTCAACCCTTGTCCTCTTGCTGTGAAGACCAGCCTGAGGCAGAGCACTGGGATTAAGGATAAAGGCTTTACTCAGCACCCTGCAGTGGGTGGGTGAGACACCTTGGCTTTGAAAAGTTACTTTTTGCTGAGCAAGCCCTGTGAGTGCACACAGGGAGCCCCATGAGTGCACATAGGGAGCCCTGTAAGTGCACACAGGGAGCCCAGAGAGTGCACACAGGGATCCCAGCCAGTGACACAGGGAGCCCAGCAAGTGCACACAGGGAGCCCTGTAAGTGCACACAGGGAGCCCAGAGAGTGCACATAGGGAGCCCAGCAAGTGACACAGGGAGCCCAGTGAGTGCACATAGGGAGCCCAGCCAGTGACACAGGGAGCCCAGTGAGTGCACATAGGGAGTCCAGAGAGTGCACACAGGGAGCCCAGTGAGTGCACACAGGGAGTCCAGAGAGTGCACACAGGGAGCCCAGTGAGTGCACACAGGGAGGTCAGAGAGTGCACACAGGGATCCCAGCCAGTGACACAGGGAGCCCAGCGAGTGCACACAGGGAGCCCTGTGAGTGCACATAGGGAGCCCCAAGAGTGCACATAGGGAGCCCCAAAAGTGTACATAGGGAGCCCTGTGAGTACACACAGGGAGCCCAGCCAGTGACACAGGGAGCCCAGCAAGTGCACACAGGGAGCCCAGAGAGTGCACACAGGGAGCCCTGTGAGTGCACATAGGGAGCCCCAAGAGTGCACACAGGGAGCCCTGTGAGTGCACACAGGGAGCCCAGCGAGTGCACACAGGGAGCCCAGAGAGCGCACACAGGGAGCCCAGCGAGTGCACACAGGGAGCCCAGAGAGCGCACACAGGGAGCCCAGAGAGCGCACACAGGGAGCCCAGAGAGTGCACACAGGGAGCCCAGTGAACGCACACAAGGAGCCCCGAGAGCGCACACAGGGAGCCCAGCCAGTGACACAGGGAGCCCAGCAAGTGCACACAGGGAGTCCAGAGAGTGCACACAGGGAGCCCTGTGAGTGCACACACAGAGCCCTGAAAGTGCACACACGGAGCCCAGCAAGTGTACACAGGGAGTCCAGAGAGTGCACACAGGGAGCCCTGTGAGTGCACACACAGAGCCCTGAAAGTGCACACACAGAGCCCCGAAAGTACACACAGGGAGCCCAGCCAGTTTATTTTATGCTTATTATTTTATAAGTTTCTTTCTGAGATGAACTGATCTTGAAATAGTAGTAGGGAATACATCTTAAACAATGTATTTGGGATTTTACATGCTTCCCATTTATGTTCATACTCCAGATGAGGTTGTGGAAAGCTCTTCAGGAGAACCTTCATGTGGTTAAAACCATCATCGACATTCCCATCACCATCAGTGGTGTTGAGGAAGTGTGCAGCCAAGGTCTTTGTGTTTTGGAGAAGGAGTCTTTAATTAGAGTTTATTGTGTTTTTCCAGGTAGCCCAGCCATGACCCACAGGAATCTGACTTCCTCCAGTCTGAATGACATTTCTGATAAACCAGAGAAGGACCAGGTAAGTACAGAATTCTTGCTTCCTTGAAATGTGGCCCAGTGTGCATGTGAACGGTACTGGGAAGGACCAGAGATGGTGGCCACCTCCCTCACAATGGACCCTTCTGTGCACAGACAGAGTCTGTGGTTTTTTGAAGGAGCCTACAACCAGAAGAGAAGAATAGGTCTTGACTCCAGCCCTTACACAGGCATTCACTTGGGCAGTTTGAAACTTGGAGCTACAGTTGTCTCGGCTTTAAAATCTCAGACTCGATTTATTGTGGGGATTGGAAGAGCTAATTCCTGAACAGATTTTCTACTAAAACTGTAAAGGGCTAAGAAATGATGACCGTCGTTAAGAATTTTGGGGGATACTTAATCCAGAGGTAATGATAGTTAAGTCGTCTCACTGGGCATGTTTTCGTTTGTCTGTTAACACCTCCAGTAGGTAGTCTGTTTGAGGTTAGGTTTGAATCTCTGCTTTCTCTTAAAGAGAATTGGGTGTAAGTATGCCGTTTTCCCAGATATCTTATGGAAGAAGACTCTATTTTAAGACTACAGTATGTTGAAATTTATAAAAGCATGCTTCCTAAATAAAAAGCCTCAAAGCTTTGAAGAAATGGCAGCAGCATGTTTAAAAGTGTCAGAAGTCCTCACCTGTTTCCCGGCCCTCATCGTCTGCATTGCAGTAAAACCCCAGAATTTTCAGTGCCTATCTCTAGCCTCCCATTGTCGTCAACGTTCATGTTAAGATGAAGCCAGAAAGACTTACAGGAGTTTTGTTCTCTTTTTGTTTTAAAGTCACAAAGTGAAGGTTAATAAATGTGTCATTATAAGAGCAACTGTCAGTCTATTGCATCTATCATACTAGCCGTGGCTCTCCTTCCTCAAAGGGGAAAGAAACTCCATTTTTTGTTTCTTACCGAAGAGTCTGAAGAACAGCTTTGTGACTGATTTGTGATCTGTTTTGCAACTAGAAGTACAGAGAGAGATCAAACTGATACTCCTAGTCTCTTACCTTCTATTTTAGTAACTTCAAATACAAAAGCTCCTGTATCATTTTAGGTTAAGAAAAGAAAAATGGACTTGCAAATAAGATGAAACTATGGTAAACTGGGTTTTCATTTTTAACCCTTTTTTGTTTGTGTAGGAAAAAAAGATTGCCAGGCTCAAATTTGTTTTGAAATAGCTTTTATAATTAATTAGCCAGTGTCCTGGAAGTGATCTTGGCAGTAAAGTCCAACTTGCACTGTGTGCTTGTCCGAGTTGGACCCAAACCTTCCTCCTACCAGGACCAACATTTCTGATTGACTGACTGTTCTGCCTGGATACGGCCAGAACGGCCTCACCCTGCAGCTTCCTGGAGCAGTGTAGCCTCCCGTGGCACAAGCAATGGGCTTGATGTGCAGCGTCTACAAGGAGCCACGTTGCTCTTTCTGACAGTGAGATAGTGACAACATTTGAGGGCATATTTTATATGAGATTCTGTTTTGGGAAAACAGAAGAAACAAATCTGGGGACTGCACTTTTGTTTCTGACTTTGCCAAGACTACATACTTATGATTTCAGTAGCAGCTGCTTTATTGAGAAATAGCTCAAAATAGTTAATAGCAGAAAAAGAGCATAGCCCAAGTCTTAGGTGATTCAGTGCTTCGCAGTTCCAACTTGGATGTTATATTTATTAAGCAGAAAAACACCTGTGGAGACGTAGAATAAAAAACACATCTGGAGCTCATCTGGTGGTAAAGCCACATGCATAATCTCTTCTATTTTGTTGCTATGGAGTTTTTTTTTAATTATCTGGTTACTTTTCCTATTTATCATAGATGGATTTGCTTTTCTATTCCACTTTATTCCTTTTCTATTCTTTAAAATAATTACATACATATGAGATGGGTGCTCAACAAATGGAGTTTTCATGTGCACGTGGAATCAACCATGAGGATGAGAAAGTTACTTTTTCTTATTGTTTTACCTCTTAGCTTTAACTCTTATAGTAATACTGTGCTTGCTGGTCCCAGGGCTTCAAAAAGTTGACATTTTTCAGATTTAAGAATAACACAGTAACATCTCACAGCTACAATCCACCCTTAGGGAAGTGCTGTCCACAACAGCGCCAGGTGCAGTGGATGTAGAGAGACCTTGCAGCTTCCCAGGGAGCTCACCTGTAACTGCTTACTGCTATGGCTTCCAAGATACTCACTAGTTAACTAGCTCGTCTGAGAATCTCCTCCTTAGGGCCCCGGGTGGAATTTGGCCTAAGGTCACTTTCTAAGGTATATTATAATCATTTTTAGCACCTATTGCATATTATTTGTAAAGACACTTGGATGCTTTGATTCTTGTTTTCGAAATGCTGGTCTTTTGCAGAAGTATACCAAATTTAAATATTTTGTCGGGAAGTAAAAGGATGAAACTATGTATAGGGATGATATTGCAAAGCCATGACTACTTAAAAATGGAATATAGAAAGGAAGATTCTGTGATAGAATGACCCCTAATTCTATTCTTACACATGTATGATAAAGGAGCAGGTTAATCCAGTGTGGCTGGGATGACTGACCTTGAAGGTATTCTTAACCTCAGGGTTCACATAAAGCTTCCCTTAGTGGTGATCATGGTTCCATAATCACCATGACAGCTAACCACAAAACCATCTTCTTTTCTTTTTCATAGCTCAGCAAAACCCCTGCAGTTCACATGAAGTCTTATTTCACCCTCAGAGGGGCACAGTTCTAGGAAAGACCCCTGTTTGCTGAGGTTTAAGACTTGTTTTTAGCAAATTTTCAGGGAGCGGTGAGACCCACTCTGTCAGGAGGGCTCCAGATAGAACTCCATCTGCCCTGTCAGGAGGGCTCCAGGTGGAATCACAGCTGCCCCGTCACGAGGGCTCCAGATGGAATCACACCTCTGCTGTCTGGTGAGGTCCAGGTGGAATCACAGCTGCCCTGTCAGGAGGGCTCCAGGTGGAATCACACCTCTGCTGTCTAGAGGGCTCCAGGTGGAATCACAGCTGCCCTGTCACGAGGGCTCCAGATGGAATCACACCT